AGGGTTTAACAGCTACGGTTTTAAATATCTACATTTCATATTTTATACATGTCCACTGTTTTACCAAATTTAGCACTGGTGGGTAACCTGTGGCCCATCGAGGTTCAGAGTGCGGCCCACTAGATATCTGTTGATAACTGGTACAGTATTATGAATTATTAGCAAGTTTTTTTTCTACTCAGTGTTGATGGTCATTATAATGAAATAAACACAAAGGTTTTTTATACTAATTTCTTTTGTTGGGTTAGCTTCCTGCTTAGTTTTCAGTATCTGTAGTTGATTACAATTAATAGTATAGTTTGAATTTTCTATGAACTAATCAGCTATTAGTAGAGAAGAGGGGCATGGCTCACGGGCCAAGTTAGTGCGGAAAGAGTATAGTGGTGGTGGAGGAGAGGTGGGGTTTACTGGGGGAGGGATTCATCTGAATCAGATGACAGAGCAGGTGATGGGGGAGGACAAGTGGGAGCTTTCGAGATGCCACACGTCGATGGCTGAGATTCAGGTGATGTTATTTTTACTTTTTTGTAAAGTAGGAAAGCAATGAGATAATAAACATATTAAATCTGTGTAAATCGAGAGGTGACTGTATAACTTATTAGGAAATGTGGATAAGTTTATTTTTTATATTTATTTAATTGATACTACTTCCGTAGGTACGGACCTTTTTTTCCATTATACTTCTTGTGATTGATGGCCATTCCATTGAAATAAGAGGAAAAGATAATTACAGAGAGCCAGTACATGACTAGTACTTGCCAACAGTGCGTGACAGAGACGTGACCGATCGCCCAAGCGGCTAACGAGCCGATCAGTCGTGAAGAGGATAAAAGTAAGTAAAAGTAAAAAGATGTTAGTCAAGATGGAAGGTGGTGATGTCCAGACCAGAAGCAAGGCCAGGCAAGGGTGTGAGGGGGCGGGTTCTTGGGCTTGCCACCAATGTGAGGGGGCCGGTTCCCCCTCTGTTTCTACACCACCCTCATCTTACTTACTTCTCTTAGTTCTTACTCTTACTCAGTTCCGTCACCTATGCTTGGGTAGCATGGACATTCTTTTGGTAGCATGGTCATTCTTTTGGTAGCATGGTCGAGGGTCTAGGCACGTGAGTATGGTAATTTTGGTATCAGGTCACTTGGATGGAAATAAAGGTAAAATACTGTGGGAGAAATGAATACACCTACAGTACTCTTAAAAACAAGTTTATTAATATGCAATCAATGGGGAAAGATATTGTATTAATCATATAATTACCCGGCTCACCTCCTGGGCTTAGTGCAAACTCAGTTCCCTCTTCTTTACTCTTACTCACGTGCCTAGACCCTCGACCATGCTACCAAAAGAATGACCATGCTACCCAAAAGAATGTCCATGCTACCCAAGCATAGGTGACGGAACTGAGTAAGAGTAAGAACTAAGAGAAGTAAGTAAGATGAGGGTGGTGTAGAAACAGAGAGGGAACCGGCCCCCTCACATTGGTGGCAAGCCCAAGAACCCGCCCCCTCACATTGGTGGCAGCTGTGGGATCGGCCCCCTCACATTGGTGGCAGCCCAAGAACCCGCCCCCTCACAAGGGGATATTTCCATGGCTGATCTAATGCAATTCTTACATGCACAGCGAGAAGAACAGAAGCAATTGCTGCAAGAACAATGAGAACAGAAACAACTACTGCAAGAACAACAGGGGCAGAGAGAAGAACAGAAGCTGGGAAGAAGTGAGCACCTTGTGAACAATGACATTTCTAACCACACCCTGCAAAATACAGTGTACTTAGCAAATGCTGCAGCTTCTGAGAATGGGGGTGGGGGGGGGGTTACTACTAAGCAGAGATGTTACCAAGAACAAATTCTGGCTTGAATGTCATGTACACTAATACCGACACATTCCTTGATAAGGGAGAGGAGTTTGAAACACTACTGAAGGTACACCAACCAGTTATTGTAGGAGTTGTAGAACTGTTGTACAAGAACAGGAGAATCGACCCAGAGGAATGTGAGTTCGGTATTGCTGGATATGACTCATTTACGAACCTTTCTCAAGAAACTTGCAAGAGGGGTGTGGTTATCTATGCTAGGCAAGACCTTAGAGCCAGCCAGGCGAGGATGTTTTTGAAGAATCCAAGTGGTGTGAAATTAAACTATTAAGGGAGGGGACTTACTTATTGTCGGGTGTATCTACAGATCCCCAAACTGTGGCCCACTAAATCAAAGGAACTTAAGAGCCTTAATAGACAACGTGGCGATGCTCAATCCTAGCCACCTCCTTATCACGGGGGAATTTAACTATGGCGATATTGACTGGAGAAACGAGTTCACCCCAAATGACTTGAATAACCCTGCTACTCTTTTTGTAGAAACTCTGAGAGATAATTTTCTGTTCCAACATGTTAAGAGACCTGACACATTACAGAGGGGAGCAAACACCCAAGCCACTAGACCTCATCATAACAAACGAGGAGGGCATTCCACAGTTTGGCTGTGTGAGGAAAGAAGGATGTACTATAACGGGTTATTCTAGTATGACCGACATTCACAGAGAAACGGTGGGCACCGCGGGCAAGACGAGTGTAACGAGCCCACGGCCTTGCTGGCGGTACACAGGATGCCAAATCCACCGAACATTGCCCGTTAACGTACCTGCAAAAGAGAGAGAGTGAAGCAACATTGCGTCGAAGAGAAAGGGAAGAAAGATTATCAACTAAAAGAGTAGAATTAATAAGACGAAATGCCTGGTGAACAGTGCCTTGCATTCACGTCTGGGAGTGGTGAAGCCTGATTGTCAGCAGTGTTGTCGGAGAGAGGCACTTCCCAAGAAGTGTAGTAGCACTACAGTGGAGGAGGATCCAGCTGTTGCTGAGGAAGGTCTTGAGAAGCTGCAGTTGGAAGACGAAGACCTGCGGCCAGCATGGGAGACGATCTCTGGAGCAATTCTGACGACTAAAAATTTCTGGGCTCAGTGGGATGCTCTTCGGTTGAAGGGTGGTCTGCTGCAGCACCATTGGGTGACTACCGATGGTCTTAACAGGTACAGCAGACAATGCTTCCCGTAAGATGAGGTCAGAGATCCTGGGAGAGACGCCCAATAATCCAGCCAGTGGACATCTGGGAGTGAAGACCCTGAGTCACCTGCTGCAAAGGTTTTACTGGGTTGGCACGCGTAATGTTGTGGAAGAATGGTGCCATTTGTGCGATGCCTGCTGCGCCAAGAATGGACTAAAGCTACACACGCATGCCCCACTGCAGTTGTACCATGCAGGCACACCAATGGAGAGGGTCGCAGTGGATATTGCGGGACCTCTGTCACTCACTGCAGATGGGAATAGGTACATCTGTGTGGTTATGGATTACTTCACTAAGTGGCCAGAAGCATATGCCATCTCAAATCAGGACGCCACGACTGTTGCCAGGGTGCTGGTTGACCAGTTCTTCTACCGGATAGGTGTGCTCCACGAAATGCATTCGGACCAGGGCAGAAATTGTAGTCAGCTGTGGTCAGCGAGTGCTGTAAACTGTTGGGCATAAGGAAGACTAGGACCACTGCACGTCAGCCACAGTCAGACGCAATGGTGTAAAAGTTTAATTGGACCTTGAGACAAGAAGCTGCCTTCTCTGCTGATGGTGTATCGGTCAGCTGTTCACGAGTCAACTGGATACACACCAGCAAAAATGATGCTGTGTCACGAACTGTGGCTGTCAGTGGACCTGCTGCCAGGGTATGCTGCAGGAGATGCTGCCTGGTCCTCTCCTGCTGTGGCTCCCACGAATTAATCATGTTAGCCCATACAGTCTCGATGGGATTCAGATCACAGGCTTGACTCAGCCAGTCCAGCAGCTGGATGTGGTCTCTATGTTCGGCGAACCACTACGTCACTCGCCAACTCACCCACACTGCTGAGGTTGATCCAGCCCCACGTGTTTACGGTCACGTGGCTTCTTGATAAACATGCTGCCTGTCGTAACGGGTGTTATCGGGTCTCTAGCAAAGACGGCCGTGGTTGGTAGTGTTGACACTTTTTTCATCCGAGAAAATAACAGGTCCTCCCCCACATACTGCTTAGGGAACTGTAGTCTCCCAATCTGGCTTTGTTCTGTGAACCTTTCCATAACAGCAGAGATCCTGTGGTGGATCCCAATTCCATGGAGTCGTCGCTTAACTGTCGTTAACGTGATGCTGCCTACTGGATCTATAAGTGTGATAGAAATGGACTGTTGGTGGTTTTTCTTTTTGTAAGCATGATGTCAAAGAGCAGTTTATATCCTTTATTCTCTTAAGAAATTTGTGTGACTAAGAGAGGAGTAAGATACACACAAAGGTTTGTAATTAGAGGAATTCATGTCTCCTAAGACATTTGACTCCTTGTGCAAGTTTAAATTCAGGAGTTTAAAGATAGCATAACATTGATATTTGAGCCCATAGAAACACTTTACACATTTACTTGGTAAGACACACAGGTTCCATCAACAAAATCATGATAACTTTGAACCCCTATTAATGGTCGTTAAGACAAGGAAGCAAGATATTACAGTACTCTGTATATATATTTCAGGCGATGTGCTGATACCGGATTTTTTGTTCAATATACGAGCGTGTTGATCAATTTGTATACTGTATTGTTCTCATAAGAGGTAAAATATCTAGCTAAATGGTATAAGATTTGGTGAGTACAATGGTTTTTAAACCATTGTTCGGAATTGATACGGTCAGTTTAAATATCAACAACTTATTTTTACGCCCGCCCTTCTGGAATCCTTTGATGGAAAGTATTCTTCGTTATTACTGGAGATATCTGGCATTATTTGTGGTGGAAACCTTACAAGCACTATCGAAAAATGAGCCGAAAAAATAATTATAACCAATATGTTTACACTTATTACGGCATGTTTGAAGCAATCATGTTTTGCGTGGTGTGTGGGGCGGAGTCTGGTTAGGTGGGCGGAGTTATTCTATGTGGAAAAGAAAACGAGACTTGCTAGTCAAGCTACCATGTTTGGTCCGTAGTCTGCTACGGCAGTTGTCAGCGCTGCACCCTGTTACTACCCTCTTATTTTCTCTTTTCTCCTCTTATTGTACAATTTGGTCCCAAGTACAACATTTGGTTCCGAGTTTTAGTGAGTTGAAGAGTTGTTTACGTTTGTGTTTTAAGTGTGACGTTGCGTCAAATTCATGTAAAACCGTCCGAATAAGACTGAGTGCAAGTGTCATAACGATGTGCCCTGGTGCAGGTGATGACATACACTAAGTGCCTAGTTGTGGTCATGACAAAACTTAGTGTTCCCTACTGATAAGGATTCTGACTGCCATACGCAGCCGATTGGATTTTTTGAAAAAGGTAGGTAGAACAATGTTCACATTACTTAATATGTGGCTCCTAGTTTGACTGATTATTTTTCACAGGTCTTATTTCGCATTGTTTTCAAATACGTTATTTTCTCAGATCCTATTGTAAATTTATGATATTGTATTATAATCAGTATACACATATAAGCTCAATTACAGTGGATGACAGCCTCGATGAAATGTTATTAATAAACCCATTTGTGTGGGGTGTAAGATGAGGTTTATTAATATGTTTACCTGTATGAGTTTTAAATGAATTACTACTATTTTCTGTTTATAAACAAATGGGTATATACATTAAACAACAGGTCGTTGTGTATTTATGCAGTAGTTATTAGACGTATTACAGCAACCAAAGGGCCTTTTAGACGTAGCAGTTACCCTTTTTCATTAACGTTTGGAGCCTTGCATTCATGTTGACCTTAATGTTTGTGCTTTTCATGTTTACTATAAATTGAGGCATCATACTGACCCGAGCTATTAAACTTGGATAATCAAGAACACCTGTAATTGTTCATTTGTCACACACTCCATAAGCTATTCGTGAGAACAGAGGAAGCCTATTGGACTTTTACCAGCACCCATACATGCCACAAGCTATACCACCACGTACCCTATAGGCCTACAGCAGCCACATCACAAATGTCACTCGTAGTGAATTTTCCTGCCAGTAACCTTTCCACACCAAGTTCGAGGATATTATACTTTACACTTATACAGTACCGGTATCTTAAGGACAAGGATTCCAGTAAAGGTGACCACGTTGATAATAAGAACATAATCGCTGTTATTGCAATATAAGTGCAATGTGACATACGTCATAGTAACTAATAATATGCATATTTTACTTTGTTGCTTGGGTTAAGTTAGACACTTATTGATTATATGAAAGCATAGTGGCGATTTGACTTCGATATTAAACGGAATGTATCTTCAAATAATCATCGTAAACATTATCATTCGTAAGGTGAAAGGTTACTTTGGGAGGAAGTCATACCTCCCCCTACTGTGGCAATGGTAGTTGTGATGGTAATAGTACAGCATCACACCCCCGCCACATACCTGATGGTTAGGTCAGCCGCGGGCGCCCACACAGGAGGTACCTTCTACCTACACCACCCGCCATTCACTCCGCTGTTAAAGGCCGGTATTTACGAGTTACCACCTTGATAATATTTTCTATACCTTTTGTTATTAATTTTAAAGAAACTCGGTGACTGTCGCCATTATACGTTATATGGAGTACACCTGATATTATTATCTTTTGTTAATGAGAATAGTTATTTTGTATAAACCATTTGTATTTCCACTACTGTTTTCTTATAGTGTATATCAGAGGGAGAGTGAGGAGGATGACGTCAGAGACGGTTACCTCACGGCACGTGTTAGGGGCGCGCCGAATTTGATCCATCTGCGTCACTTCCTTTACCTTGTAAATCTCATACTCGGACAGTTCCGGAGAAGTGAGGTCTTAGTTTAAACTGTATCTACTTACCTGACAGTCTATACTGCCAGCACCCTATTTATCGATCTCGTGCGATTTTTATTTTATTTTTAGTTTTATTACCTTGTTTAGTCTTACACCGAGAGCTTGTTCCCATCTCTTCAGTGCTGCTGGGCTGTATGGTATCTTTCAAGCTAGAGAGAGAGAGAGCAGTCATCGGTAAACATATGGTTATTGTTAACAAACCAAGATGTGTTAGGGCTGCCATGTCCAGAAGGAAAGACTATAGTAATTCAAGTGTCATGTTGTCGGCTTATGATAAAAGTAATGTATCAAGATAAATTGGGATAATATATATATATATATATATATATATATATATATATATATATATATATATATATATATATATATATATATAATTTTTTTTTTTCATGTAAATCCACAATGAAAACGTGGATAAGATAATTCTTGATAAAATCACACGGGAAAATGGAAACAACGGAATACCTTAGCTTTCGTCTTTATTCAAGACATCTTCAGAGGCAACTGATTAAGGAATTAAAATCAATAAACCTAAGTGATGGTCAGTTCAAAACTGATAATATGTTACATAAATTTATTTGTCAGTGGCCCAAGGTTAAAAATGCTTTGAAAACCTTTGATCTAGATGTATAATAGTTATTTAGTGGGTCCCTTATTTTTTACCTGACCTGACTAGTCACGTCAACCCCCTTCTCTTAAGCTCCTCTACGTGTGTGTTGGTGTGGGGATTAGTGGACGACATCATTATGACCTGACCTCATGTTTTTAAGGTCACCCTGTATATTTAAGCCTCTCTCTGTCCATGTAATCCAGTTGCCTCTGAAGATGTCTTGAATAAAGACGAAAGCTAAGGTACTTGTTTCCATTTTCCCGTGTGATTTTATCAAGATATATATATATATATATATATATATATATATATATATATATATATATATATATATATATATATATATATATTGTTAGGTTGGTCATGCAGATGATCATAACACGAACAAAGTTGAATAATATTGTTACTAACCTAACCTAGCTTAACAATATATTAAGATAGTAAACGTGACCTTTTAGTGTTACAGAACAATTTGTCCCATCTGTGGATAAAATTTGGTATACAGTATTAAGCATTCGGTATAGGAGGCAGCATGGGCGGCACTACACTCAACCGCCTTCACTTCCTTAACTGTAGAATTAGGCATCCATTGACAGCTGGATGAACTGGGGTTGCACTGGGATCAAACCAGCGACCCTTAGGATAGGAGGTACCTTTGACATTCATCAATTTTTGTTCCCGTGTTACTGTTTCATTAATATTACCCTGCCATGTATCTGCAGTAACATTCCAACAACTGGACACGAGTCTGCCGGTTGGGTTATCGTCTGAATGGCCGGAAATATTCAGGCAAAGTTTTTGTACTGTGGTAGATTTTTTCCTTTCGTTGTACAAAATTTGTGGTCTATATCGCAGTATACGAAAAATAAAAAAGATAATCCAAGTGCAGCATTGCTGAGTGGGTGATCAGGAGCGGACCACAGCATCAGTGAAATCAAGGTTTACGAAGACGTACAGATTGTTTTATATTTTTACTGTTTGAGTCCCAGGCATCTGACCACTTTTATATTATACAGAATATATAATGAGTATGTGGTATATTCCTGACCCGTCCTCATGGTGTACGTGTATGTGTTGGGTATGACAGCCTGACACTTGTTCCTGCTTAATTTTATTTCGTTCCAGAAAAATTCACTTCAAGTAGTGGTGATAATTAATACTGGTTCGAGTGGCTATATAAAGTATTCTAGTCATCACGGAAAATTGTGACGCCTTGGATTTTTTTTAGGTGGGAGGCTACCCGCATTCTTGTCTTCCTTAATGTCGCAGTTGAACACCTGTGATTAAATGGTTGCGTAACTGATTAAATGTTCGATCTAATTTATGATTAAATGACAGAAAAATTTACAAACAATGCAGTGTGTATTTCATACATTTGAACAGAAATAGTTATTGAATGTTTGTTAATTATCTGAAGACATATTGGTAAATTAATTGTTTCTGTGTCCGATATTGATATTGAAACAGTTTATTTTGCAAGAACACGTATACAGAGTCGATTAAAATCATATTACAGTATTAACATGGCTGAGCTAGTTGAGAACCTGAGCTCTCTTGAAGGCACCTGATATATACTGTACTGTACATTTATCTCAAGGAAGTATTATGTAACATTTGGTATCATCTGGAATAGTACATATACAGTAGCATGGTGCTAATAAGAACATATCAGAATGTTACTACGGATATCACTTCGATATTTATATATTTATTTTATTATTATTATTTTACATTTATATTATAAGTATATACATAATTTACAGTGGAATTTAAAAACATAAATATGATAAGGTAGGGAAGCAGTATAGCATGGGTTGTATTAAGGTGGAACAAGAGGACAGAGTTGTCAGGATTACGTCTAGTTGGTGGTACAATAAAAGCAGGTATATAAAGTAGGTATTACAAAAAATATTAATACTTAGACAATAGATATTTTTTAAGAGATGAGTTAAAAGAAGGGAGCGTAGTCTTTGCTCGGATGGGTGGGGGTAAGTTGTTCCACACCTTCACACCATGATATTTTATGGAAGTCTGGGACTGTGAGGAGCGCATGGAGGGTGGTCTTAGTAGATCTTGGTGCCTTAAGTTGTATCTCTGATTGTTCCGGAACTGGAAATAATTGTTGTCAAGCAAGTGATTGACAGATTTGTAAACAAATAGGGCACAGCAGTAGGTGTTGATATCCTCGAATTTTAACATTTTCAATTTAGCAAATTGTTCACTTGTGTGGTCTTTTTTTTTCAAATGGATCATTGTCCGCACAACTCTCTTTTGTGCAGTAACCAGGGTTTATGTTTTTGAAGAGCCAGAGGCCCCTCATAGTGTGTGACAGGTGTTGGTAAACAAGATTGTAATAGATTTCTTTCATTGCTGTGAGAGTGAGTGACTGTCGAGTGTGATACATGATACCGCACTGTTTGTTGACTTTACTGTGAATGGCTTGTATGTGGCTTCTCCAGTTAAGTTTCTCATGAACAATAACCCGAGGAATTTAGTATTTTGTTCTTGTTTGAGGAGTGTATTGCCAAGGTACAGGGGGTTCAAATCTGGGGGTAAGTTTTTCCTTCTGTGAAAGATCGTGTAGTGGGTTTTTTCGAGATTTAAGGTAAGTTTATTACATGTTACCCGGGTCCTGACTTTACTCAGTTCAGAGTTCATGGGGAATAAAAGTCTTGAGTTGCTGGCATAGAGATTACTATCGTCTGCAAATAAGTTGTATTTTATGAGTGTGCTGGCGTGGACTATATCGTGTATGTACAACAAAAACAGTACTAGACCGAGAATGGAACCTTGAGGGACGCCATACAAAATTGGTGAGGAATCAGATTGATGATTATTATAGCAAACATACTGCATCCTGTTGGACAGATATGAGGTAAACCTATTGTGGGAC